TGCTTGTTTGAACCACTGGGTCCATGTGAAGTTTTCAAAAGGAACCAAGTTGTAATTTTACTGAATAGAAAGAACAAATTACAGTACTAAACACTTGGAGAGTAAATGTTAATGCTATGATGAACCTAAAGATTTAGCAGCATACAAATTTAATAAGAAAACTTATATATACATGAAATTATTTTTGTACTGGTCCTATCTTCTACTTTTTGAATTTGCCTCCTAAACCTGGGTAACCTATTCTATGATTTTTTTTTCTTTCCTATTATCTACTTTTGGCCTCCCTTAGGAAACCTGTTCTTATATCTAGACAGGGGTGAAAAGTGAAAATAAAACTAACTCGCCTAGGAGCCCATTGGATGTTTTAGGAGTGCAGCTCACTGAAAACCCTTTGGTTGTGCTTACTGATAAACCTGGAAGCTATAGTTCCAAGAGGCCTGGAATGTACCACGATGGGAGAATCTGAAATAAAGGAAAACCTTGCCCATCCCTAAAATGATCCTCAATTATAGATCTGGCAATCGTTACTTTTGAAAGAACAATTTGACAGTCAATTCTATGGGTTTTTTTTAACGGAAAGGGAAGAAGTCATCTAGCTGGCAGGTCATGTTAGGGTAATAGCTTCTTCTTGGAGGAATCTGGCTGGGAAATCAAGGGTCTGAACCAGACAATTGCTATGTTATAGCTGGAGCTTAAAAACAGTTACCTTTGTAAATCTTACCAATTTATCCAAGTCTGACTATGGTTTACAAAGGATTAGTTTACTACTACGTGCACAAAGAGACAATCATATTGATTCCATCACTGTTTTATTAATAGAATGTGAGTTTTGCATACATTCTAGGACATTGAAAAATATATACAGTAATAGGCACAATCCAGCACCACCATCATCAAATATATGGAAAACAATGGGCTTTCATTGCATGAAGTCTTTATATATCTGATAATTTTTTGTATACAAATAGGAGATTCATATCCTCTGAAATCAGCAAAGCTAGGATTTTATTCTCTTCTGTAGTTTGTTGTTGTTGTTGTTGTTTTATCCTGCTGTATCCATGCTTTGGAATTATCTTTTTTAATAATTAAAAGAAAAAAATAATAATTGTATAAAAAGATAAAACATTTTGATTACTGGGTCCTGGAAAAATAATCGGCAAAAAAAAATCTTAGTTCAAAAAAATTAGAAGCTTTTACAGCAATCTGTATGGCATCTTTTAGAATTTACCAATTTATCCAGGCTGGCTGGGAATTCCAAGAATTATAGGGCGATATATCTGAAGAATACTGGATTAAAGAAGGTTGAGATATTTCTATGAGCCCATTTATTCCATGAAATTCTTCTGTACCTGTTTCTTTCCTTCACTTCTGTTCTTTATTTCACACCTTCCTCAATATTTTATGCATTTCAACTTCTCAAATTCTTAGTAATTTAGCCTTTAATGTAAACAGCTACATTATGAAAGTAGCAGTGCTCCAGTGTATAGTTGCTAATAGCAAAAGCAAGATTTAAGCCAAGAGAGAGAGAGGTAACAGAGCCAATTACCGTGTTTCCCAAAAATAAAACAGGGTCTTTTTTTTTTTTGCCTCCAAAAGAGGCATCAGGTGTTATTTTGGGGGGATGTTTTTTATACTCACCTCCGGCACCGACAGCCCCGCCCAGCCGGCCCACTTCTTCTGCGGCACTTCTTCTGCGACTGAAGGAGCAGCTTCAATCTGCAGCTGCATTCCGGCCTGAATTTTGTAGTCAGGCCTTTCCAGAAGGCCTATGCAGCCAAGTACAGAGCTATGGATTCAATCCATATCTTGGTTCTTGGCTGCAGAGGTCTTGCAGAACCGAGCTATGGGTTGAATCCATAGCTCAGATCTTGACTGCAGAGGCCTTCTGGAAAAGGTTGTGACTAGCTGCAGAAGACATTGCAGAAGAAGTGGGCCGGTGAGGAGAGGCCTGGCTGCCAGGTAAATGGGTGTGGGGTGCATGGGGCAGCTCCACACTCCCACCCTAGCTTGATTTTTAGGTATGTGCCTCGCCCCAAAACTAGGACTTATTTTTGGGGCAGGGCTTATATTAGCCCCCCCCAAAAAATCAAGCTAGGGTTTATTTTCGGGGTAGGCCTTACTTTCGGGAAAACATGGTAGTGTCTAATGATTTAACCTAATTTTTGCCCACCATTTTCCTTAGTTGGTCACTTTCCCAAAGCAAAAATCAAATTAAAGTGCTGACTGTAGGGCCTCTCTGCTTTGTATATCAAGATAAAATTTGTAATGCAGAGAATATAGTGTTTTTTGCATTTTCTTTGGGGAAACATGGGGTCTACAGATTGGTTATGCTGAAATAGAAAACACAAAATAATTTTGTTCTTTGAACTGTTTAACCAGCTAGAGTGAAACTGGGCTACCACTGCCCTCTGCTGGATATTCAAGGTACTGCCTGTTTGAACTTTCACAAGTATTATTATTAAAGCCTATAGTTAAATAGATGGCTGATTACTTCAAAATAATTATCTGGAATTCTGTGTGCTATACAATGCCATTTAGCTATCATAGATGGGAGCAATGCTGCAGTGATTGTAAAAATTATACACAATTTTTTTTAGGACAAAGTTCTCATCAGTCTAACTACAATATTATGCAGTCAGATAACTTCCCTGAGGTGTTGGATTATAAACTAGTGTCTTACATAAAAGTCCAACACATTTCAGTCCACCTTTATTATTTGTATAAATAACTCAAAGAGGTGAACATATCTAATATTCTTTTTCTTCTATTTTCCCCCAAACAACCACCCTGTGAGGTCACTGGCCACTCTCACCCAGCCGGCTTTCATGCCTAAGGCAGGATTAGAACTCTCAATCTCCTGGATTCTAGCCTGGTGCCTTAACTACTTGATTAAACTGGCTTTCAACATCAGGAAGGCACCAATTTAAAGATGGAGGGCTCGTAGCCTAATATATCCTAGGTCTGCATTCTCCAACCCTCCAATCAGAGCACACAAAGAGTGGGTGGGCAGGGATGGCTAAAAAAAAAAATCAATATGCTATATGAAATCCTGCAACCAAAGCCTCACTCATTTGCATATCACATGTGTATTGCATGTAAAAAAGGATAGGGCTTCAATCATACAGTTCTATCCACTATCTTTTTTTTTAATCCCCTTCTTTCAAAGTCAACATTGCCCTTGACTCTGAGTCAATAATAAAACAGTCTCCCCACTTTATTTCTTCTTTCCTATTTGTTCCCATAACAAATTTAATACCTAACTTTAAACTATGTTTGGAACATCTAAGAACCTTGTGCAATCCCAGCACCACTGGGGCGTCCGTGTAGAGCTAAAATATTTGGTACCATTTTTTTTGTCAAGCTTGGGAATACTTTGAACTTCATTTTGTCATATAACATCTTTCCAGATGAAAATAAAACAGGTAATAAGTCAGAAGAAGAAGAGGAAGTTCACCCTAGAATGCAAAACTGGGCTTGTCAGGAGCCGAACCTCATTTCAACTTTATTCTCTTGCACAGTTTCCATACATTTCAATTAGACTATTATGAAATAATGAATGTATTAATGTGACCTATAATTTCTTTATATATCAGCAACAGCAGCAACTTTACATGAGCAACAATCTTATATTAAGATTGTAATGTAACTGAGCAATAATCTGATTGCAGCCAGTTATTGGCCATCATGGTTAGTTTCTCCATAAAATGTATGGGTACAAGAGTATCTTAGGTATGTTTCAGTTACAATTTTATTAGTTTATTAAAATATAAAATACAGAAATACAAAGAAAAAATAGAATAATGGGAGAAAAGGAAGAAAAGAAAAAATGTAGGATAAAAGGGATAAGAAAAGAATTGACTTCCAACTCTTTTTGGTGCAGTATAAGATAATAACATACAACCTTAATAGTATCTTAGGCATGTTCCAAGCTCTCTAATTATATAGGATTATAGGAGTATATTTCAGCCCAAGTTGTGTTTCAGAATTAGATTCTATTATGTTTCTCTGCATTTCCATAATACAGAAATCTTGTGACTGTCTCAAAATCTTTGTAGACACGCGAAGTAGTCAAGATTCTGATTACAGAAAACTTAAAAATATTTGAACAGCATTACATTCCCTTATACTCATCTTAGACTGATAGTTATAATGTTAAATAAAAGGACTATATTGCAAGATAAGCTGGTTATGTAACACTGAATTCTATTAGTCATTTTAATAAAAAGACATTACTCAATATGACACCGCATGTCTTAGTGAAAAGCTACAGATTTGATAACAAGACATTACTCAATATGAAGCTGCATAATGTGAAATAATGGGGAAAGCTACAGATTTGATATCTTATTTCCTTGTAGGAGGTTTTTTGGTTACATTTACTGCTCACCCACTCCTACAGAAGTAATAATTGATGTTGACTACGTCCTTGAAGGAGCCACAAAAGTAAATGTTTCTAAGAGATGGTTAATACTGTGTTTCCCCGAAAGTAAGGCCTACCCCAAAAATAAGCCCTAGTTTGGGAGTGAGGCACACACCTAAAAATCAAGCTAGGGCGGGGGTGTGGAGCTGCACTACGTAACATGTACCTGCTTACCTTGCAGCCAGGCCTCTCCTCACTGGCCCACTTCTTCTGCGGCGTCTCCAGGCTTGCATTTTGCAGTCAGAGGCCTTTCTGGAAGGTCTCTGCAGCCTGGAACCGAGCTATGGATTCAATCCATAGCTCGGTTCTGCAAGTCCTCTGGCGCTGAGAACCGAGCTATAATCCATAGCTCGGTACCCGGCTTGCATAGGCCTTCTGGAAAGGCCTGACTGCAAAATGCAGGCCAGAATGTAGCTGCAGAATGAAGCTGCTCCTGCCCCAGAAAAAGTGGACCTGCTGGGCGGTGCTGTCGGTGCTGGAGGTGAGTATAAAAGACATCCCCCCAAAATAAAAAAAAAGACCCAGTCTTATTTTCTGGAAAACACGGTAGCAGATCTCATGCAATGATAAGATTTTTTTTTAAAAAAGAAACTTGTAGTTATTCTCATACCAAAAACTAATATGAGAACGGCACTTTGATTCTTTGCTTATTAAATTCATGTAGCCCCTTAATCACCACCCTAATTCAGCAGTCCACTTACTAATCCAAATCCCCACTAAAATCCCTTCTTGTCCCATAATCAATCTTTTATGCAAGCATAATCAATCTGTTATGCATAAATGCAATCTAAATTAAGAGTCTAGATTTCTTATGTCCTCTTTGATAGTGATAGAACAATCTATCGCATAAGTTGCTGTACTAGCAAATACACAAGGCCTCCAACTCCCGCTGTTGCTGCTACACCCAATAAGCGCATCATAAGGAACTCCAAGGAGTTCTCCAATTCTGCATGTAATTTCAGGACCTGCTTCTTGGTGGCCTCAGCATCTCCTGAGTTATCAATGACATGGTCAGCCAACTTGACCTTCTGAGCAAGGGGCATCTGGGCAAAAATGCGTACTTCTGCCTCTGTCTGAGTCAGCCCATTCCTGTGCATCAAGCGAGACAGCTGGACTTGTGGGTCACTGACAGAAGAGAGGAAAATGAATTCAATTAAAATCAAATGTTCTCCAAATTGTACCTCTAATGTCCATCTAGACCAGGATCACTGGGAGAAGAAAAGCTTTCATCTTGTTTCTTCCTTCCCACTGCATGCAAGACGAATGCTTTGCTATTAGTGCACAGGAAGCAACAACTCTGATTAAGTTTGTCATTGTTAATGGTAGAAGTGGCGAAAACTTTAACTATGACCATCCCTTTGTACTGTTTCAAACAGTAACAACTGATCGACAGAAGAAATTAACCACTATTCCTTGGGCTCTTGAGCTGTCAGTGATCTTAATAAAGAGTTTCCAATATTCTTTATGTTGCCTTCACTTCACCATGACCAAAACCTATTTCACACATCTCCCCAAGGTATAATGTAGTCGGCTTGATTTTGCTGGTGTGTTGCATTAACTTACCCCATTATGCTTTGTTAACAATGGTTTAAAACTTAGCACTTCACGCAAACTCAATCACACAAGAAATATATGACAGGTTTCTTTGACAGATGAAATCTGCTCTTCAGGTGCTTCAACTGAATTCTCTGGTATGAAAGAAATTAATCGTACTCCTTACCCCACCCTCTTTTTCCGAAAGAATCTCAAAATATCATACTTTTATTTTTCTCCCATAACTGAACGTTCTGCAGTAGCAAAAGACATAAAGTACTGCAGGAGGAGGACTGGGTGGGGGCAAAGAAAGAGAAGTTGCTGATAGTGGAACAACATCAGTGTGTATAACAAGCATAACAGGATAAAAGAATTAAGATCTTACCTCCAACACCCATCTCAAGTCTCAAATGTCTTGGTCTTATAATGCACATAAAAGCTAGAATATGTAAGTACAAAGCAATGACTAAGAAAATGTACAATTCAGGAAGCAGGATGTTTCAGTTACTTGGTCCTACTCCACTTCAACACACTGTTTTCTTGAGGTTTGAATCTTCAGAAAGCTCAGCATATCCATGAGATGATGGATTGGAAAATGAGATAGGTAATTTTGTCAACAAGCTTCCCTGTACATATGGCTTGTCTCCTTAGATACCAGGAGGTGGTCTTGCAGAAACAAGCTCAATTACATTAGAGCAGATATGTGCTTTTCCTATGACCATTTGTAGTGTGATGGGGCTTGCTCCATGGAGACCCATACCAGAAGGAAGAATTCTCTACAGCCTGTAGATTTTGATATGTAGCAGTAATAGTAATAGGAGGAACAGGAATACAAATTCCTTCTCAACCAGCTATAGAAATACAAGTGGCTACTGGAACATATATAAATGCATTATGAATAACTGCATACACAAAAGACAATATGCATTTAGTATGCTACATTGAAAAACACTGCCTGTAAACAGACTGAGATTCTAATGCCAGATCCGAAAATCATTCAGAAAACTACTGAAATGCAGAGAATCGGATGAAGAGACTCAGGTCATATGGCTTTATTATAAACATCGCAGTTACATGGAAGGACCACAAATTACTCTACTCCATTTCAATGGCTCTTCAATTTCTAAGGATAATTCCATGACCCATGGCCTTTTCAACTCTAACTTGGGTTAAATATTCTTTTAATAGTTACATGAAAATGCTGTTTATTCCAACTTCCATTTAAAGAAAACAATATATTACATAGCCCATTCTCCGACTTTCATTCCATCTAAATCATTAGCACTGAATGTTATTTAAAATTATGTAGCATTTTATCCAATACTCTCCTTACCAATACACAACAACTGTGTGCTTCATGAATCTGGTCAGCATTTTGCTCTCAAAGAGGAGGGGGATATCCAGAATCACATATCGATAGCCTGGAAAAATTAAATAAATCCTTTATTATAAACATTTTTTTCAATAGCAGCAAACTTTTTGGGTATGATGCTGCAAATACAAACAAGTAGGCCTCAGGTACGACCATTTGTTCAGTATTACAACAGTGTTGAAGGAGGGAGATTTACAATCAGTCTGCCAATTTATGGCTATTGCAGCATCCCTGTGATCATATGAACACAACTCAGATGCTTGGCAACTGGCTCACAATTATGACAGTTGCATATTCCATGGTCACATGATTGCCATTCCCCTGCCTGCCTTCCACAAGCAAAGTCAATGACTGCCCATACTCTGTAGCTCCTTATCTCCCACCCATCCACCTATATTCCATAGTGCTCTTTAGTCTGCCTGCCTAGACATAATTTAAGTGCCTCATCCCATGTTGTGGTCACATGAGGTCCTCACTGATCAATCTGCATGGTCCTCACTTAATGACAGCAACATGAACTCCCAGGTTTGCCATCACTAGGCAATGTAGTCATGAGATGATTTATTTTATGACCGCATTGCTTAGTGACAGAAACTCCAGTCCTAATTGCCATCATAACCTGAGGACTACCTGTATTTCGCTACAATTTAATCAGTGACTAAATAATATTGATTCAAACTATCATTCAAACTAGTGCTCCTATCACCAATGCAGAAGGCTAATATAGGTTTCATGATCAAGTTCAATATAAAAATCAATGGAACATGCAAGCAAGATGTACTACATGGGACTGGAGAGTGGAATGCCGAAGTGGGGGAAACACAAAAGAATATATAAGTAGATTATATGATTTAGGAAACCAAAATAAAGCAGGAAGCTGATGTATTAATTCATGCATGTCCAATTATTTCTTCATAATTAACACTTCAAACAACCAAAACACTTCTCTACATGGACATCATGAGATGGAGTATTTAGAAATCAAGATGATTATGAGGTGTCCTGCTAGCACTGGTGATGTTACTTAGTTTGGGTAATGAAATGTCTGCAAGAAAACAAGCAAGCTCAGAGAGCACCAACCCCGAGCTATAAACATTCTACTTATATTGTTAATTAGTGGAGTGGGGGAGCTCCGTAATAGTATCAAAAACATTGTGGAAGAGATCATAAACTACTCATGTGCAAGTTTCAAGCTCAGTTAAAGAATAGAAATATATATTCACCATTTTCAATGAGAATTTCAGAAATAGTTTGAAGCCCTAAACCTCATTGATGGACAGCCATAAGAATTATGGATTGAATTTAAAGGAAGTTATTAAGGATGAGTGCGAAAAGAGCTTGCCAAAAACAAAGACAGAAAAGAAAGCAAACTGAATACAGAGCAAACCAAGGAAACTGGTAAGGAGAGAAGCCAGAGCCAAGAAAAACAAATATCTCATAGAATACAAGAAGCGGTATTGCAACAAAATCCGTAAACACATTCAAGATGGAGACAGACATGGAAAAACAAGGAAATAGTTCAAAAGATATCTAGTCCTAGTGGATATCTAGTCCTACCAAAAAGAAGTCACTATGTCCTCTGATTATAGAAAGGCCTTCAATTGTGTTGATTAAGCTGTGAAAAAGTACTCAGAAAAATAGAAATCCCAGAATATTTTACTCTACTCATGAGAAACAGATCAGGAAGCCAGAAGGTGGTCAGAAGATGGAGAAGCAGACTGGTTCCAGGTTGGAGGAGTGTAACAAGATTTTGTTCTATTTCCTTATCTATTCAACCTATCTGCTGAATGTATATATAGGGAAGATGGGTTGCAAGAAGATGAGTGTGGTTTTAAAACTGGAGAAAGAAAGATCAATAATCTGCACTATACTGGTCACACTAACCTGATTGCCAAAAATGCAAAAGATCTATAAGCTCTAGTAATAAAAGTCAAGGAGACAGTGAAAAAAATGACACTAAATATAAAAAATACCAAACTAATGACAACAGGTAGAATAACTAGCTGTAGAAACGTCAATAAAGACAGCAAAGTGGTAAATAGTCTTTGCCTTGTAGTGTTAACCATCAGCAATATAGGAATAAGTAGTCAAGAAATGCACTGCAGACCAGTATCTGACAAATCAATCATGAAGATTTTGAAATCGTTATTAAAATGTTGTGATGTGTCTATACTTACAAAGATCAGAATCATGCAAGCCACAACATTTCCTTTGACATTCTATGGAAACAAATGTTGAACTTTAAAAAATCAGGTTAGGAAAAATATTGATTATTTTGAACTATAGTATTGGGGGGGGGGGAGAAATCCTGAGAATACTGTGGACATCCAAGAAAGAAAATAAATAGATCATTGAACAAATCAACCCAAAGTTTTTGAGAAAGCGTCTAAAAAAGATAGAGAGTACATATGTGCTGAAGAGACATAAAAAACTCTGTCTGCTTGGGATCTCTTCTTTCCCCCCTTATTCAGTAGAAGAGCAACAGTGTAGAATTACCGGTAGATAGAAGAAAACACGCTACTGCATGCACAAAACTAAAATTGTCCAAACAGACTTTTGAAAAAGACAATGTGTGATTTAGGTAGTGAAATTCATATTCACATTTGCTTGATCTTTCATTGCATTGGAAACCTGTTAAAAGAGGTTCTGCTAAGTCAAGGTTTCATTGAACATCCTGCAGCAACTCCTTCTTATTGTCTACTCCAAACTTTCCACAGGATGGGAAAATTTGTTAACGTAAGTGAAGATTCTTGTTTTCCCTGACTACTGATTACGCCTCTAATATATCTGACAGTGTAGAGCAGGGGTTCCCAACCAGGGGTGCGAGATGATATTCCAGGGGGTGCGAAAACTTGGGTTTAAAAGTTTCAAAATTATAGTGTATATGCATAATTCGTTGCCATTATTTCGAACTTTTGTATGGGGTGCAAGAATATATCAGAAGTGTTCTAGGGGTGCGGGGTATAGAAAAGGTTGGGAACTGCTGGTGTATAACATAGCTTCCTCATTAGCTGACAGTGTTGTATCTCAGAGTCTTTTAATATGTACCACACATAATGTGCCTTTACGTGATATTTTAGATACCTAAATAAAATAATTATAGTCTCATGCCAAACTGTTTTAGCTATACAGGCAACATCCCCTTATCTGTGGTCATTCTACACATTTTAACAGAGCTCACTGCTGCCTCTTAAGCCCTTCTCAAAGAAATGTCTCTTCTCTTATCCTCAAATTTCTACTCCAAAAAGCTCTTGGGTTTATCATTGTTCCCAATTATTGCTATACTTAATACAAGCAACTATATTTGATGATGTTTCCAAGTGACCTTTCTATTTTCTAGAAAGCATTGTTGATGGCTATAGACCATATAGGCCCAAATTACTATAAAATTTCAAAGAATTTTCATAATTTTCACTTGGTAAAAAAAAAAAAAGAGGTTTTGAAGAATGGCAGTCTGAAGATGGTGATTTGTTCCTTCCTTTCTCACATATTTCATTTTTATAATTTTGTAGGTCTTAGAAACTGAAGATCATAGCCTCACTATTTCTCCATTTCCCTATCTGCCCTTAATAAGTGCCAGGTCCTTTTTTTGTACAAAGATCCCAAAGCAACCATTGATATCATTGGTAAGATAAGATAACCTTTATTGCCATTTTTTATTGTGAGCACTGAATCACATTAAAAATGAAATTCTGTTGCATGGTCTCAAAAGAAAGTATATTCTATATATATATATATATATATATATATATTGACCACTGTCCATTTTGAATACATAGCAGAAAGAGGAAACATGAGAGTTCACAAGGTTGATACTATATGGAACAAAACTGTGACTGAATCTAGACATTCTGCTTCAGATACCACGAAGCCTCCTCCCAGAAGGTAACAAGGAAAACAGGTCGTGAAGAGGAAATGTAGTGTCGCAGACTACATCCTGCAGATTCTTCAAGCATAGTTCATATGCCATGTCCTGGATAGAAGGAAGTGAACTACCAATCATCTTTTCTGCCATCCTCATCACTCTCTGCACAGCATTCCTGTCATAACCAGTAATGCTTCCAAACCAGACAGTAATGCAATATGCTCTCAATCATCCCTCTATAGAAAGTGGTAAGAACAGGGAAAAGTAGATGTACTTTTCTCATGCGATGCAGAAAATGCATGCGCTGCTATGCCCGCTTCATCACAACAGTGTCTTGTTATTGAGTGACCAAGCTAGCCTATTTGTTAGCTGCACATCCAGAAATGTAATGCTGCTAACCAGCTCCACAGGTGAATCATTAATACACAGAGCAGTGTGGCTGTGGCTGCCTTTTCTGAAATTGACAATGAATGATCTCTTTAGTTTTTCCTACGTTTAAGAAGAGGCTATTTTTATTACACCAGTTCACCGAATTCTCTGCCTCCTTGCGGTAAGCACTCTCATTGTCATCCTGAATAAGGCCCACTAGTGTTGTATCATCCACATACTTCATACTATGGCTGGTGGCAAACCTTGCACAATAGTCATGGGTCAACAGGGTGAACAATAACAGACTTAGGACACAACCTTGAGGAGAACCTGTGCTCAAGAAAATGGCGTTAGAAATATTAATCCCAACTCACACATACTGGGGCCTATTAATAAGAAAATCAAGAATCCAGTTGCACAAAGGAGTAATAAAGCCTAAAAGGCCCAGTTTGTCTACTAGATGCTGAGGAACGATTGTATTAAATGCTGAAGTCGACAAACAGCATTCGCACATGAGTGTTTCTTTCCTCTAAGTACGCCAAGCTCAAATGGAGAACAGAAAAAATAGCATCCTCTGAAGAGCGATTTGGAAGGTACTGGATTAGATTGGTTTAATGGCTGTATTTGTCAGTTATCACAAAGTAAATGGGAAAATATAAGGACACTGCAGAAACCCCAATTGCCAAGCCATTATTTTATCTTATCAAATTCAAAGAGTGCTTTTAGAAGAGCAGCAGGAGAATTGGGGTATTGGAGAAGTGTCTGAGCATTTCAGGAGGCATGACATTATGCACAATGCTGCCTAAAGGTTTTTTTGTGTGTGCTCTTTAAAACCACATTAAGGGACTAAAAATGCAAAGGGCAAATATAAAGAACAGAGAATCCTGAAGATATAAGCTGTAAAAGGGTGATTGCAAACAATATGTCACAAAGGGAATCAGCAAAGTTGCCTTTTCAGCCTTCCCTTCCCTTGCCATAGAATAATAAAATGGACACATGGCCAACAGAGATATTATCATTTTTATCAGCAGGATAAAGGATTCTACAAAGTAATATTAACTCTCCCAGCTACTTACCCAAGACAAAGTATTTCAAGATCTGTTTTAACATTTCCTTCTGGATCTCAGGATGAGTGATGGAGTTTAGCAGTTGACGTTTTTCTGGTTGGGAAAAAATTATATTTCCTAAAGCTTCACGGTTGATCTCACCACTCTCCAAAAGAATTTCTGGACCGAAGGAATGCACAATACGTCGATATGCCTGGAAGTATGGCTGGACCACTGGGGAAAGAAAACATTATAGTAGGAAGAGCCACCAAATATTCCTTAAAAGAGCCAGAGTATTCAGTTGGTCCATATATTTTGCAAAGACTTTCAGCTGGCAAGAAGGGAGGCAAGGAAAAAACCCTACTTATTAAACCAATTTATAATCCGCTTATCTCATGAATGAGGCTTTATGCTTAGAAACAAACAAACTTCTCTTCTAAACGTTGCATTAGTCCTGCTGCACCTCCAGCAACGATTCACAGATCACAGACCACATTAAAGGACAGAAATTGGTCTGATGGGAGCGGACAATCGTACATCTAGAAGGCATTTTTTTCTTTGCAGAAATACTGTATTTATCCAAGGCAATATGGCTGCATTCATCTCATCATCAACGATTTGGAACTGAATGGTCAGACATGCATTTCTTGCTCTCAAGGCAGCATCTGAAATCTACCTTTCAAAAAGGCTCTAATGCCAACACATATCATAATCTCTTGTGGCAATGAATTCTATAGTTAAGACTCATGGTATGTTATATCTTATATCAGATGTCTCAAGTGGTTAAAATATTGTCATAAATCAGTCATATATTTTAGTTTGGGATGGACAAATGGAAATAGCAAAATAAACACTGAGAATAAAGAAGACAGTTCTTTTTGCAGGTGCCTCAACTGTGGTCCACTGAAGTCATTTAAAATGAGTTCCCTCATCTACTCTCAGCCCCCAAAGAAAGGATTTTGAAGGCTAAGCTTTATACTAAATAAGGAGTTAAAAAGGTGAAATTCCCAGCATGATTTTCTTCCTCAAACAGTGCTATATACTGTATATAGTGATGGGATTTAACTGGGTAAGGATCTTATAAGAAAGGATTTTAATAACCTTTTACCTCCACAAGCAATTTTCCATTATAAATTTCCTCCTCTTCCCAGGGTCAGTACTGTTTATGTGTGTGTGTGTGAAAGAGAGAAAGGGGGGGAGTATAGGTGTAGAGAAAGAGAGGTAGAGACATAAACACACATACATGATTAGAAAATCTTCAGGTGGAATTTAGTACAAAGGCAAAAATATACCAACTAGTTCACAAATCCGATGAACACCAGAGGCTGTTAAAAGAGAAATGTGATGTGTACATTGAGTTCCAAGGCATGTGAAAAGTCATATTTAAAAGCAAGAAGTATGGAATCATTCCCAATAATGTCTCCATTGGGAATTCTACAGGATTTCTAAATAACAATTCTCTGATAAATCATATTGATCTGCAAACAAATAACTTCATAGAAAACTTACCTTGACGAGCTATAACATCAGCATCAATAATAGCACAACCCAGCTCCTGCAACAGAGTTACTACTGTACTTTTCCCTGATGCAATGCCACCTGTCAATCCCACCAAAAACATTTTGCCCTGAAAATGAAAGAAAATACTAAATCTGACATAATTTGTACATTTTTAAAAATGAAACAAAAATATGAGTTTAGAGATATTGTATATTCATTGTCATTCTTACCTAACTTGGCGATTACTTTTCTGTTTTACATTCAAATACATATCCAGTACAAAAAGCATTTTATAGGCCTTAATTCCAGATACTAATAAAATTACAAACTACTGCCCCCAAACTACTTTGGAACTTTTAAATCCATGCATGAAATATAGTTTCATTAACTTCTCTACTTTAGGGGCCTCCTTGGCCCTTAAAATTACTTTGGCATCCAAAGAAATGTCTCATGATAAGCATCTCAAAATTCCTGTCTCCTTTCCCCCTTTTTTTTGAACTACATAGACCACTTGCTTGTAAACTTTATTAATTTGCATTAAAAAGAAAATATTTTTCTTTTGTCAAGTTTCACCCACCACAGAAGCAATGGGATAATCAGAGGAGGCATGCACAATTTAGAAAGGTTGTCTATTCCCCAAGCTGTTGCCTTGTAATAGAAATCACATTTTACTTCCCCCCCCATAACGTTGCTAGTTGCCCCCCCCTTTTTTTTCGGAAAAGCAAACAATTTGTTTCAAAACTTCTAAATCAGATCAGAGTCCTCTGGTGCAGCAAAAATCTCCATTTGTCTTCTTCAATTCTCGTAAGAATTGCAAATATTATTATTCACAAATCATTACTGCAGCTATTTAGGCATGGAAAGTAAATCTGAAGTCCTTCAAGTTAGGTTATAAAACAATTTCAATTAGAGTACCCCAAACAGTTTCTGCAAATACTACTCAAAGTATGTTAATGATATCTCCACTTTGAGAACTTAGTATTTCAAATTTAAGCATTACCATGAATATTATATTTTGTTTCAAGGTTTAGATTTATTAAATAAATCATTTCTACCCCATCGACCCACACGCGCTCATTTTAGAGGGAGATAGAGCTTAGCCGAAATTGGCTGATTTTATTCCTGGGAATTAAATCGAAAAGATACCCCGGAAGAAAGCAATACAAATTATTCTCATACTGTCTCCTATAACAGTAGCGTCTGCGGGTTTTAGTATCTTTATTCCGATCCACTACTACCGTTGTTCTGTCACATAACAGAGCAATTTTCCTCAAATGCAATAAAGGTACACAAACGCAATCCTATAAGAGCTCGTACCACTTGCACCTAATTTCTACAAAAAGAAGAGGCGGGCTGGAGTTTAAAATCACTACACCAATCTGACATCCCTTTCATATAAACGGAGAATTAAGGGACTACGATTATTCAAGGAGAGAAACGACTCTGCCTATGTTCAGAATAATCCTGCCTCACCAGTATCTGGAACGGGGGAAAAAAAACCTTATTCTCCCATGCAACAGAAGAAGGAATATTGTGCCACGGCTTTCAGTTCCCGTTCGATGATCTGAATTCTTTCAAGCACTTCCCCTCTTTCGAAAGAATGCTACGGCTACTTCTTGGGCTTCATGTACATTTCACTTTTCTTATTCGTTATTGGCTGAAAGAAATCACGCTGGGAATTTCATCCAATCCCTATTACCCAAACTGAGCTTGACTTTTTCAGGCGTGAAGCCAAACAAAGAAAAGAAACGAAAACCGGTAGGGGATACTGAGCTTGATATGTTCTTTCTAATGTCAAAATTGCATTATGTACGGAGTTTCTTATTTAGTCAATAGGAGCACTGCTTTGTTCCTGATGAAAATAATTCCTCGACAAATAATCGTTGACATATTCCTGGTCTTACCAATTAGTTTGGCCAATTCTTGAAATAATTATAGGAAGAAAATAAGGATAAAGTACTTGTCCAGTAGTCTTTTAGGTGTTTGGAATTAACATTTTTGGAATTCCTAATCTGTATGGTCAAAGGACTTGTTGGAAAAGGCTTTCCTTGAGGTCCTACTGAATGATTTCAGATAGGATAGTTCTGAAGAAGAATCCAGTACAAAATTTGCCTTGTTATTTGACATACATAATAAAGTCTATTCAGGGGAAAAGCCCTTAGCAATTGACTGAAACTAAAAAAACAAAAGCAAAGCCAATGGTTTTCTCATAGATTGAAAATAGTGTTTGATTTTAACTTTGAGTTGAATGACCCTGGCTTAAATCCCTACTAAGCTATTAAACTCAATAGTGACTTTTGACTAGCCAATCTTATAGGATTACTGAGATAACATTTGCAAGGGCAACCATGCATAATTCCCTAAGCTCTATAAAGAAAGCGGGTTACAAAAACATAATTTATTAGCATATTGGGTTTAAAAATAGATGAGAGGTCTGGAAACTTTTGAAAGCCTTGGAGAATTTCAATCAGTCTGATGATATATAGCACTGAATTAAAAATGGGTCAAAGATATTGTGTAATGTGATGTAATATAAATCACAATCATATATTCATAATTGTTATTTTGTTTTTATGTGCCAAATTATACATAACATAAAAGTGATTTCAGAAAGACCATATTTAAGATAACTTAAAAAGTTAAAAATTAAGGGTTTTTGTACAAAATGAATAGGCAGTTGTGTCTATCCCAGGTAATTTTTTCTTTGAGTCAAACTTGATGATAATTGAGAAACATCTATACAAGTTTCTTGCAATGTTACAGAAGTAGCTTCCTTCTTCCAGGATAATTTTCGAACTTCCTAGTTCTCACATCTAAATGTTAAATATGCTCACCGTACTTAGCTTCAGAAAGATCAGCTTTGTCCATTAGTGCCATCTGTTGGGGTAAAATGTTCATTTATCTAGAAATAAATCCATTGTGGACCTTCCTTCTGAGTAAATGTTTAAGATTGCACTATTAGAATTAATCAGATTTTATAAGCTATATAGACATTGATGTACTCATTTTAATAAATCTTGAATGATTGATTCAGGAAAAATAATTATATACAATTCCCTATACAATTTCCCTCAAATTATATCTTCTGGATGCATGGATTACAACTACTTTGTGCAATCTTTTTCTGATAAATGCATGAACTGGGAAGTATAGAAGTTGTAATCCATTACTTTTAGCATATTTTGTGCATATTATATATAGTAGGTTAATAAAAGCTATAGACTGCACTCTTTCCTATTCATAACTACAAAAACTATTATGCATATACTTTGCCTTCTTGCGCAATTCTGATGTCCAGGGCTTAGCCATAATCAAGGAACTTTATTCATTTACCTAGCTGACCTATTCCTTAATCTCAGATAGCTGAGAATGTTGTATAAAACGTAGATTATTTTTTTGGAGCTGGAAATTAACTACATATACCCAAAAATATCAGAATCCCTTTATTTTTGTACAAGAATATTGGGAATGAGTCTAGATAAAAAAAACAATTTCTAAGATGAAACTAATATATGCCTTTCCTACAGTTTTAAATAAATTGGGTAAAATTGTCAAGGCTAATGTTCATCACAGCCAGTTTGCTTGGAATGATGCTCAATGGATACCTCATACCTGCCATTTACTCTACATTGAGTCCTGCTGACTCAGTGAGCCATCTCCTAGGAAAATTATGGGACTAAAGCCTATAATAAAAATATCTTTATTATAACAAAACAAATTAATACTAAGGTTCAAATATAGCTTCAGTTTTGCTGAGCATTTTGGCTTTTGAATGTTTTTCTCTTTTGATCAGTAAGAACATAATAATGTTCCTGGACCAGACCAAAAACCATCTTAATCCAACATTTTGTTTCCAACAGAGGCCAAAAACATGGCTTTGTATTGCTCTGAAGCACTGGTTAAAACCTACCAGTTTCAGAATTAAAATAGAGGACAGGAGAGTAATAGTTGGATGTCACCTACTGTTCAAAGAATTTGATAAAATCTAATGAAATATAATTACACTGCCAAGTAAATATAAGAGTATCTAACAAGTCAACAAAATAATCTAGGCACATAGGTTTTAATCTATCCCTGAAAAGACTGTTCCATATCTAAAATGAGGTTATTCCAAAATTAGAACTCCATTATATGGAAGAAAACTTCCCTCTAGAGCAGTGGTTCTTAACCTGGGCGGTACCGCCCCCCAGGGGGCGATTTCATTTTTCAGGGGGGCGATGGAATGAAAAGGGGCGGCGTGGGGGCGATGGAACGAAAAGGGGGCGATAGGGGGCGATGGAGCAAGATGTTTTGGGGACACTTTTGAGCCTTCCCCTGCAGCTCCGAGCGTCCTCCGCCATTTGTAGAGAGAGAC